ACTATTAGCCTATATCATGGTAAGTTGTGAAATGAGAAAGTAGGCTATAATAGAACAAGAGATAGGTCAAAAAACACTTATTTTTCCAAAAGAGTAATATCCTAGCTTTAAAAAAAAATGACTTCATTTCTCACACCTTACAGAAATTCTGCAGTTTTTTAAATTAAACTGAGTTAAACTTGTTTTTGCATGAAGAATTTTAAAAATCATGGCAATGTGAGATACACTGGGGTGTCATAAAATGCTAGCTGGGAGTTGCTGTTAAAGTGGATTTTTTTCAGCATTTGGGTCCTCTGTGCATAGAGTGTATGTCTGTAAACATTGAGTCATACCTTCAATAAATATTTAATGACAATCTCTGTTGAGGCACTTTGAAGAGAATAGTGGAAATGTCATGAGTAAGACATTGTTTCTTCTCTCAAGAGACTCACAGATGAGTGAATCTGCTTCTCTCTGCATCTTTTTTCTCATCCCTGTGACTCCAGGTCCACAGCTAAGCTTGCATAGAAACTCAGCAAATGCTCACTAGATGTTACGATGAGTGTTTATGATGCTTATTTCAAGAAACTAAGGATAATGTTGGAAAAAATATTTTTCAGATACATAGGATGTCTTCTGTTTAGCAAGAGATTTTAAGAATAGTTATCAAAGCATGGATTATTTATGGTGCTCATTAAATAAAATGAAGAATTGCATTGCCAGCACCTGTGCCTATGACGTGCTGAGGTTCTGGAAAAGTTATGTAGGCAGAGCAAAAGCCTGTTCATTTTTCTGAAAGAGAAACATTGCCAAGGTTAATGTATTTGTCTTAAGAATAATTTAGGCCCCTTCTATTGTGATTAAGAGCTAAAGTTTTCATTAATTGCTTTAGTTGAGATTATGAAAAGGGTTTATTTTTGTAAAGGATACAGATCATATTTGTAACATTTTGCTTGCTTACAAAGTCCTCATCTGTCATTTTTACAAAAGTTTTGCAATTTTTTTTAAGTGAATGCCTAATATTTTTTATGAACCTGTCATTCAGGTTCAGCATGTGGGTAGCTGTAGTTGGTACTCGTAGCTGAGCTGGTACTCTGATCCGGGGAGGGGATGGGGACTGCACTCTAAACAATTCAGGTTCAGCACAGAGCCTGGTCCAGGACTTACCACTCTGCAGTGGGACAGAGTTGAGGAAGTTCCTTTACCATTCCGATCCACAGCATGGACAAGGAGGCAATATTGATGTTTCTCTGTCTTTTATTCACTTGCTTTAATTATCAGTAGGAGTTGTAAAATCATAGCCTGAGAAAAGGAAAATCATCACTGCAGAAGGTGATTATGGTAGCTAAAAATCACATGCCCTAGAATAGTCTTTGTATGAGAGATAGCATCCTTTTGTAAACTCTCTTAGGGTAGGACATAAGAGGAGGAGTCCTGCTGTTCATTCATCCGTTCATGCATTTACTAATCACTTTTTAGGAGTCAGAAACTGGTTTGGAAGTTTGGGATCCAAAGATTAATGATGCATACTCCCTGCCTTCGAGGAATTCATGGTGCTAAGGGGAAGATAGATAAAAGTAAAAAGAGGATGATAAAACCATTGATAAGTGAAACGAATGGTAGGATATTAATAAAACAGAAATGAGAAACACTTTATCTAGTAAACTGGGATGGGTGGTATGCTGAATAGGCTTCCCAGAGTAGGTAATATCTGAACTGAACTTCATGGGATCCACTGGGATTTTCCACAGGGGGGAAAAAAGATGAAAATAGAATAGCATTAGCAGCATCATAGTTGAAAGAAACAATGTAGATGTTCAGAAACTATGTGCAGTGTGGTGAGGAAGAATTTTGCTTGTAGGTTTTTGCTTATTTTCATTTCAAAACATACATTACTGGGATTACACAATAATGAAATGTCTACTGCTTTTGCTGAGTAGGGAGAACACATAACTTTGTAATTCTAAAAGTGATACATGCCTCTAAGAGCTCAAAACAGGAGTATGGGCACTGACAGGGCTAAACTTTCCAGAGGCTATAATCAAAGAGGAATACCACAAAAACAAAAAAACAGTAACAACAACAAAAAAACCCTGCATGTTTTTTTTGAGGTCTCCAAAATAAATATAAATAAAACTCTAAAATACTCTGGACATATACATTTGTACATGAAAAATTTTAGCAGATCTGTCCCTTTATTCATTAAACATAAAGTTAGAAAATTGCTGGAAAGATGGCATTCCTTCCTACACTTCTCCTGACTATGATGCTCCATTTTAAATTTGAATCACACTTCTCAAGATGACTCTATGCTAGCACATTTCTGTTTCAGTCCTCTGGTTTTATTAAGATTATGATTTTCTTCCCCTCTTAATCTGCCTCTACCTATCTCCTCAAGGAGCCAAGGTCTTACACTCTCATAGACAAAAAACAGGTGAATGTGGTGAGGGGGTGTGCATTTTGCAATAAAAAAAAATCATAATGTTTCAAATTAAAACCATAAATATATTGGGGTGATCACACAACAATAAAACTACTACAGCATCTGCTAAGCAACACTGACAGTTTGATCCAGTAGAGTGAAATTAACTCTTGCAGAGCTGAACCCAGAATAGACTTGGGACAGAAATACCCAAAACTAGGCTACAAAGAAAGTTTCCTATACCCTGAATTAAACATAGTTTCAAATTAGGCCTCTTTGTATTTCTTTTTTTTTCTGGAAAAAAATAAAAGAAAACTTTTTTTTTTAACTGTCTCTGATAGCATTTTTAAAGACATTTTCTACAATAAAATGTTTTTATAGACCTGGAACCAATGTTTGGCTCTCTTCAAAAGAATGGAACATTTCCAATGGCTGCTCACATATGTTCCCCAAATAGATGCTTAACTGTGAAAAAAATGAGCGTGATGCCTAAAGAATGTGTGGAAGATTTGGGTATCTGGGATTTTACATTGGTCAAGAATCACTACATATATATTTGAAAAACTCAGCCCCCTTTTCTTTTTCAAAGGGAAGCTCATGTCTCAAGCTAACTTAAACTGTACGGTTGAAGGTGACACTGTTGACATTGTGGTACCTGACTTCCTGAGAGTGGTCTCCTTTTGTTTAGACCCTCAGAGCTGAAACTCCCTTTAGGATACGGATGAGTCTATCTTCTCAAATGCAATTAAATCAATGGCAGCTGTAAAAAGAACAGCTATAAAAAAATACAAGTTGGATTCAACACTTGGAAGTTATTTTAGAGGGGCATGCATATTGAAATTGATGTTGGGTATGAGTGTTCCTATAACTTTTTGGATGCTGTGGTCAAGTTTGATAATCAAATTTATTTTGAACTTAGTTTTGAACTATTTTAATTCAATCAGCTAGAGTTACTTTTGCCAATGTTTATGTAATTCATTTGCCAAATCTCCGAGGTGGGTGGGGGAGCACCTGCAGCCGGGCTCCAGGACAGGTTGAAATGGAATCTCTGTTCACATTGGAATGTCATCCATGCAGCCATGACGCAGCTCACTGTGTATGCAAACAATTCACACACATATTTTTCCAATTTTATGTAGAAATGAATGATACTGAAAACCACATTTAAATGTGAATGAACATCTCAAGCAGATCAGCTGCTGATTCTCCTGTTTCTGCTCTAACTTTCCATTCATCCAGCTCCTGGGCTGGAAACCATTACTTCTCTTTTAATCTTTCATACCGGTCAGCCTCATATCTAATCAGTCACAAGGTCCTGAAACAAGTCTAATTTTTCGAAATTCATTTTTTTTTACTGAACTCATTCAGGACCTCATTATCCATCCATCCTGGATCACAACCAGTAGAATTGTGGACTCCCTGTTTTCTTTTTTGACTAGCCTAAGATAGTCCACATAAATTTCCCATCAGATTCCTTAAACTTTCTTTGATAATGTCATTCTTCTACTCAAAAATGTTATATGTCTCTTAGTCTCTGTTTTCTTTATAGAAAAACAAAATCCAAATCCTTTGGTCTGAATTCAAAACCTGCTAAATGTACCACGAACACTTTTATTACCATAAATTTACTATAAATATTACTCCAAGCACTTATATATAGAAAGTGTGCAGCAAATAGTTTCTGTTGACTGTTTTCCACCTTTAAACTTTTACATAGACCCCTCAGCACCTACGTTTCTCCCTTATTCATGCATCGAAATCAAAATCTAGCTCAAATCTTACGTTTTCTGCAGACCCTCTCTCATTTCTTCCATACGAAGTGAAAACACATTCACTCGTGTTTTGTATTCACCACACATTGTGGTCACTTGCTATGCCCCAAATAATCCAAGATGACTACAACTCCCTGATTAAAGGTACTTATTTGGGGGCTTTAATCAAATAAACAGCTGTGACGTGGTGTGGTCAACATTACAATTAAAGACTACATACTGATTCCAGGGAGGTCCCGTGAAGGGTGTTGTAAACTCAGTGGACAAATGTGCGGGCCAAGGAAGGTTCTGTTGTTTCAATGAATCTTAGTGTCATGAAAATAGTGGGAAGGCATTTCAGTCAGAGAGAATGGTGCCATAAAGACCCAGAGGTTTGAAATACACAGAAGTGTTCAAAAACCAAACACAAATTTACCTTGGCTTGAAAGCAGGTCCAAGGGTGAGTACAACCGGAAACGAAACAGAAGCCATCTTACAAAGTAGTGGTTATAGCTTCTAAGAATTGAGCCAAAAAGATAGTAGGTACTCAATAAACACTTATTCAATAAATAAATCATGCCCTCTACTATTAGTATAGTAAATATTTATATTTAAATATTTTGTATTTAACGATTTACCAGTTTGTGCCTTGGTTCATTGAAGAACTACTGTGTATTCACACTTTGTGTTTTTAGTACTTTATCTGTGGTAGATCCTTAACCTGTGATTATAACAATTAAAAAAAACTTGCTACTAATGCGAGTGCCAATAGCGGAGAATTCTTTAAATTAACATGTATAAACAAAATGTTCATATCTATTTGTGTTTTTTCTTTTTTCTTTTTCTAGGGTCAGACATTGTTCAGTGGTTAATAAAGAACTTAACTATAGAAGACCCAGGTAAAAAAATCATTTTTCCATTGCTAGATTTGTGTATGTGTGTGTGTGGTTTTAAAAAATACGATTTCTCGGGACTATTTAATTGGGCAAGCAAGTAAACCTTCTGAAAAATTGCAATTAAATTTGAACTGTGCTTCTTTTAGCATTTATACAAATTTTATGGCAGTCAACATATATTTAACTAAAATTTAGCATAATTTTTATAATATTTTACAGATTTAATGCCCCATTATATGTTATTTGATTCAAATGATTGGTGATTGTTAGAATGGAGAGCTGTGTAAACATCAATAAATAATTATACAGATAATTTATAGCAAGTAATTATAAAGTAATAAAATTTCCCTTTATAAGACACATAAAAGTAAATCTGATTAGTTTATAATTTTGCTTTAACTTCATTTTAGAATGACGTTCAAAAACAGTATGCTATTTATAATTCTGGTTCTTTAAACAAAATGTGTGTGTGTTAAATGCTCTGTTTAAGGCATAAACCCAGTCCCTGTGATGGACATTGTGTCTGTTCTGTAGTAGAAAACTAACTTTGGGAGTAAGGGAACAGTTTCTACCAGCTCATATTTGGTATTGCCTGGAATAAATTCCTACATATGTGAAGCATTTAACACCTTTTTAAAAACATCATGTAAAACCTTTCACATGTTGCCAGCAATTCACATTACTGAAATAAAAATAAAATGCATATTGTTTAGAGAAGATTCTGAGAAAACCAAAAATAATAGCTTATGCAAATATAATTAGATAGCATGAACAATATTTGAGAGTACAACAAAGTGACCATAATCAAGAATAAGTTAGCGTGTACTTTAAAAGAGTGAAATTAGAATGTTTCTAACACAAAAAAATGATAAATGACTGAGGTGATAGACACTCCAGTTACCCTGATTAGATTAATTCACATTGCATGCCTGTATCAAAACATCACTCATACCCTGTAAATATATACAACTATTGTGTACCCATAATATTAATAATTAAAAGTAAAAAAATTTAAAAAGACTATAATACCAAGTGTTGGTGAGGATGTGGAACAATTGGAATTCTCATGGAAGTGTAAATGGTACATCTAGTTTGGAAAATACTTGATGGTTTCTTACAAAGGTAAATATATACTTAACATAGGACCCAGCAATTTCACTTCCAGATATTTAGCCCCCGTAAAGGAAAGCATGTGTCTACAAGAAATCTGGATGCAAATTTTTATTAAAAAGTTACTTATATGTTATTCCTACTGGAAATGATCCAAGAATGTATAAATAGTTGTGATATGTTCATACAATGGCATATTATCTGGCATTTAAAAGGGACAAACGGCTGATACACTTAACAACATGGATGAATTGAAAAATATTCATCTCTGAAAAATATTCTTCTGAGTAAAAGTCACATACTGCATGATTCCACCTATATAACATACACATAACAGGAAAAGGTAATTAATAGTGATGCATGCCTGTATCAAAACATCACTTGTACCCTGTAAATATATACAGCTATTATGTACCCATAATATTATTAATAATTAAAAGTAAAAAAAAATTTAAATTTTTTTAAAATTTAAATCCTTTTAAAAATTTAAATCAGTATTTGCCTGAAACTGGAGGTGGGGGTGAATTGACTGCAATGGACCATAAAGGGAACTTTATATGAAACGATGGGAATGTTTTATTATCTTAATTGGGGTTGTAATTACATGGGTATATATATGTTCATCAAAACTCATTGAACCATACTCTTAAAATGGGTGCATTTCACTGTATTAATATGTAAAGTATATTTCACAAGTAAAAAAAGAAAAGCTTATGAAAAACTGGGGTTAAAGAGACAACAGATGCTAGGATAGAAAAGGCCAGTGACGTGCTAGCCTAGGCGGCACACCCTCCCGTCCACAGAGAGGAATTTGGGATGGCGTGGCTCCCGCCTCTGTGATTACCATCTTAGGATGGTTTAGAATTAACAGTACGTGGAGACACAAGGTTTTCATTTCTTCCTGTACAGAAAGGCCTGTGGACACCACCTGCCCATTTGGTCCATGAGCTTTTAACCCTTTGTACTCGAATGTCGAGTGTGACTCGACATGGTTAGCAAAAATTATAGAGATTAAAATTATTCTTTGAATGTATCAATAATTTGAAATATAAAAAAAATCCAAATAAATAAGTTTATATGAAAAGAAACTCCGATTTTTTATTCTACTGCCGTGCTTTGTAAAATCTGGGGTATTTAAAAAATTAAATCCCGAGTAGAATAAAGGAATCGAGAAAAAAAAGCAAGTGAGTGCAAAGGGTTAAAATCTTACCATTGCGGGTTAAATGGAATAAAAATGATTAAGTAAAGATGAGGCAGCTGTTCCCAGCATCATGTTACATTTTATAGTATATGTGCTGCCTAAGTGAGCACAATGATCACATTATTACTTAGTGAAAAGAGATAATTATTAGGAAAGGAAGCTACAGTCTTACGAAGTTCCCATTTCAGCTTCGCCTCAGTAGCATGCCTGATTTTTATAAACTATAGCACCAGACAAATAATCCCAGTGCTAAAACACAGATTGACATAGTCACAGATGACCAGGTAACTACTGATTTTCAAAGAATATGATAGATCATAGGGTGAAGTGGATTTGACAGAGTATTTCTTCGTTAAGTTAAAGGCTGAAGGTGTATTTCAGTAATAGTTGGAGAAACAGGAAAAATATTTGTAGATATAATAAGCCAATAAGAAATAATGATGTTTACAATTTACATGTGAATTATGTTTGAATGTAAATTATAAACATAATTTACATTCTATCTGTAATATGTATGAAAAATTGATTTTATTTACTTGCTCAACACTTTAAGGGAATTGTGATGCTTCATTAGAAGGTATATGAAGAGATAAAGCCAATCATATCCGGGAAGGAACATATGTGATCTTTGGTCATATTAATAACAGGTTTAGACTTTAGTTTTTATTTTTTTGGATTGTTTCTTTGAAGGAACTAATTTACCCTGTACGGAGTATAAGGCTCTGTACTAGGCTTTTAGAAAAGTAAGGAGAGAAGAAGATGATTGTTCTGAATATATAACAGATTGTACACACAGCCACCCTACCCTCAGGGTTTCACTATGAGATTATGTTGTCTCTGAGTGCGATGAACCCCGTTTTATGGGATACATTTCTGTCTTATATTCAACTTTGTCAGTTGCCCAGCTGCTTTCAAAGTATGGCCATGGCTGGTTTCTTCCTTGGTGTTTGCTCTCCACCGTGGGAGAGAGAAGCAGTCCACACGTGCGGTTTCATTGTTGGTGCAGCCCGACCCCAGCTGCTTTGGGTGCTGTTGACCCACTGCAGTGAACAGGAGCCAAAGTGGTGTGCTGCCTTCCCCCCTGTTTCCTGCTCTCCCCACTTGCTGTTGGGGGTTTTGCTAGTAATCTTCTCGAGTCTTCTCTATTCAGTATTGTGCTGCTCTCTCAGGAGGGTGTTGCAGTCTGGTCTCATACATGGAATACTTGTTAACCTTTGAGAGCATATGCTTTGGCATCCTTCCCTAGTTTTTAGTGCCAGTGCAGGTCTTTATTTGTGTGATTTTTTTCATAGCATGGATAGTTATAAACTTTATGTTGCCATCCTGCCAGAAGTTAATATTTTTATTAATACCTTTCAACAATATATCACTGAGAATCTAGAAGGGGTACATGTATGTGCATATATATGTGTGTGTATATGTATATATATAGTGTGTGTATGTTACATATATAATTCACATATGAAAATGCTAAGCACAGAATAAATTGCATTGGTCTTACCGTTGGACCGTAGTTGACAGATTAAACAAAATGGCTACTTTGATTTCACAGAGAGGAAAATTGATGTTCAGCACCTGTTGGATGGGGAAGGAGATTAGAGAGAAGGATTTAGTCCTTGGTGAACACATATCCACATTGTTGAAATCTGTACTAGTCAGGCTTCTCCAGAAGAACAGAACCAAGCAGAACATGTGTGTGTGTGTGTGTGTGTGTGTGTGTGTGTGTGTGTGTGTGTGAATAGAGAGAGAGATTTTAAGACATTGGCTTACACAATTGTGGGGACTGGCAAGTCTGAAATTCACAGGGCAGGCTGGCAGGCTGGAGACCCAGGAAGCAGAATTCCTTCTTCCTTGGAGTTAAGTCAGTCTTTTTCTCTTAAAGCTGATAGAATGAAGCCCACCCACGCTACGGAGGATAATCTACTTTATCAAAGTCTACTGATTTAAATATTAAACTCCTCTAAAAATAACGTCACAGCAACATCTAGACTGGTGTTTGACCAAAATTGGGTAGAGTGGCCTAGCCAGTTTGACATATATTCATAAAATTAACCATCACAGCATCCACTGGGAAGCGTGCTACCCACCACCAATGCTGTCCGTGGGCAGCCCACCCAGTTGCTTCCGTGTTGTTACTTGTTCGCGCTGGCAGAGTCCCTTCCTATTTAGTGACACTCTTTGCTTTGGCCAAGGTCACCGTGAGGGCTCAGCAAGCGATTTGTCCTCAAATCAGGAAAGTGAGTTGTGCTTCCTGAAGCTCTGTGCTGTTTTTCTATGTTACTCCCAGTTGCATGAAGGAAATTCTTCTGCTCTCTTGTCATTCGGAGGTCTGGGATTCTCTGAAGCTGTGCAAGGCTCCTTTTGCCTGGACCTTCCACACGGTCCTTCCCGCAGTGAGATCATTTTGGTGTCCCCAGGTCTCTGTGCAGGAAGCAAAGAACATGTGCTCTCTTTTCTTAGCTGTAATAATTTTTGCTTGTTTTCCTTATTGCCTGAAATATTATTCTATCATATCAATTAGTTTTTAGTGTATGCTAAACTACCCTAAAACTCTGTAGCCTAAAAAAAATAAATAACAGCCATTTTATTTAGCTCATGATCCTGTGGATCAGCTGGTCCCCACTTCTGGCCTGGGGCTGTTGGCTGTTTTCTGCTTTGCTCCCTGGTGCACTGTAGCCAGATTGTGCGTGGA